ATATATATACTTTTAAATAGAAGCAATATACACAGCATAATTTACTTAGTGGTTAAAGAGATATGTTCTGAATCACACAATGTGACAAGCAATGTGGCTGCTTTATAAGCCAAGGAGAGTATAATTTATATCAATTGAAAATAATAGAAGATAGGAGCATATAAAAGCATGAACATAAAATTACTCTGGACATAAATTATATAAATTAATTAATTAAATGTGTGGTATTCAGTAGAAATGGATATACTATTATCACAAAAAACTACTTACCAACTTGATGTTTTATAAAACAATTTTAGTGAATTCTGATTTGGGAAAATAACTAATGTAGTATTAAGCATTTCTGCTTTTATATGACTTTGAAAATATATTCTACTCTCTACTGTATTTTGGAATAAATATTTTAAAAAGATAGTCTGAGTATTGCTAAAGAGGGGAAAAGATCCATTGTGGGTGACAGAAGGAACAATTATACTAGCATTAAGCCATAAAAAATTAATTACATCTTTATAAAGCACATTGTAAGTAAAAGTTTTATATGAATGCTAAGTCCCACTATATTGTGAATTCCCATTGTATCGTGAATGCACTGTTAGCTCTCTGTGTGTCTGGGTGGGTTAGCTCTCATTTCTTGTGAAACAAACACTCAACGGTTTGTGTTTGCATTTAATATCTCCAGGAGCATTCTTTGTGCTTCAGATATCTTGAGATGTTGGATGAAATAGTTTTCCCATCTTCAGTTGTTTTTAAACACTTTGTATCTTTAGGGCTTAGGTGTGATCACTGTGAAGTTGGATTTAAATTTCTCCGAAGTTTTAGCAATGATGGATGTCAGCCCTGCAGGTGTAACCTCCATGGTTCAGTCAACAAGTTCTGCAACCCTCTTTCTGGGCAATGCAAGTGCAAAAAAGAAGCCAAAGGACTTCAGTGTGACACCTGCAGAGAAAACTTTTATGGGTTGGATGTCACTGGTTGTAAGACCTGTGAATGCAATATGTCTGGAACCCTTCCTGGGACGGTCTGTGATGCTAAAACAGGGCAGTGCAGCTGTAAACCCAATGTTGGAGGAAGACAGTGCCAATCAATGTTTAGAAGGTTACTTCTACCTACAACAGCAAAACAGTTCTTTCCTCTGCCAGCCTTGTAACTGTAATAAGACTGGGACAGTAAATGGCTCTCTGCTGTGTGAGAAATCAACAGGACAATGTCTTTGCAAATTAGGGGTAACAGGTCGTCACTGTAATCAGTGTAAACCTCACAGGTACAATTTCACCATTGGCAATTTTCAAGGCTGCCAGATGTGTAAGTGTGACTCTTTGGAGACACTGCCTGGGACCATTTGTGACCCAATCAGTGGCCAGTGCCTATGTTTGTCTAATCTTCAAGGAAGAAGGTGCAATCAGTGTCAACCAGGTAAGAGAGAAATGTATTACATTTTCAATGTAGTGGAAAGACTTTCCGTGTTAGGTGATTCCTCTGTGATTACTTTCAGCTTTTGAAAAAAAAAAAAAATTCTCAGTATGATTGTAATTCTATAGTTATCCAACACAGATATAACTATTTAATTTATTAATCAAGATTGTCTGATACGTTTGTGTTGTTTTTTCTGGGAGCATAGTTTAGATGAACTCAGCTATTCAGACTTGTGATTGAGATTTGCTAATATTCAATCCAGGAGCCCTGGTGTTACAGTGGTTCAAGTACTTAGTTGCTAACTGAATGGTTGACAGTTCTAATCCACCCAGACATACAAATTTCTTTCATAATTGAGATTTATCAATATTAGATTAAGGTGTCTTGGTGGCACCATAATTAAGAACTTGACTCCTAACTGAAAAAAATTGGCAGTTTGAACCCACCAGCTGTGACAGTCTGCTTCTCTAAAAAGCGACAGTTCTACTCTAGCCTTTGGGGTCTCTAGGTGTCAGAACCAACTCAACAGCAATGTTGCTGTTGTTGTTAGTTGTTGTAAAGTCGTTTCCACTCTTAGCATCCCTGCCCAATACTGTACCATCTTCACAATTGTTTTGTTTGAGCCCATTGATGTTGCCACTGTGTCAATCCATCCCACTGGGGGTTTTCTTCTTTTTCGCTGACCTCCATTTTACCAAGCATAATATCCATCTCTGTTACTGATTTTGCAATCGTTCATCAACCATC